GACGCCCTTCAATTTTTAGGGTAAGGATTTTAGAAAAAAGTATCGTCTTATAGTCGGAAAAATACGGTAATAGTTTTTAGTCATAAGATAAATAATCTTTACAACTCTTTTGAATTATTTATTCAGAATTACAAGGAGAGCATGGCAGAAATGCAGTCCAAGATGGTATTGGACAATAAGGAGGGCAGGGAGGGAAAGAAAAAGAGAAAATGGAAGAGAATAAATCTGTCATGTACTGATGTTGGAAGACAACCCAGCTAATGGAACCAATAAATTGTCTAGATGTCTTCTCACAAACTAGGCAAATGATGCTTCAGGTAACTAAACGACATCAGAGTAGCAAGATGGTGCTCTCAGAGAGCTCTCATTTATTATTTTAAGGCAATCCTCCAATGTCAAGCCTATCATACTCATTTGGTGAAAATGTGTCAGCTGTGTAATTGGACCTGGAAAAAAGGAATTATGCCACGTATTCCCTTAATGTTAATTAAGATGAAAATGTTTTTACTCCGCTTTCAAATAGTTCCAATTCATGTTTCCAATATGTGCAAATAAGCCCTTCCCTCAAGATGGTAAAGGGAGAACTGCAAAGGTCAAATGTGCAGATACTATCACTGGAGCTAAAAAAAAAAAACAACTAAACTGATGGGGCTCTGCCAACCTTTCTATGGGTGAGCTTTATTAATCAACATTTGGAGATGGCAGAGAAGGAGATCATGGATGAGATTAGTGTTTCTCAACCTTAGCAACTTTAAAATGGGTGGACTTCAACTCCCAGAATTCCCCAGCCAGCCACTGGATGAGATATAGGATGGAAGATGAACAAAATCCTTTCGAGCTTTTCTACTGAAAGAACATGTAGAAATTATCTCTAAATTGAAATCAATATGTTTGTTATCTGTAGTGCCAATTGGTGCTGAATCATGCAAAATACTGGTACCATCAATTAACTTGGACAGGCAAGTGGATTCTGAGGAAGTGAGAAAGCTTGCAGACTAGAATAAGCAACAATATTACTCTGTTAAATCCAGAGGCCACTTGGAATAAAATAACCAAGACAAAGGAACTGTTAAGACCAGCCTAACCTGATTAGGCTGGTGTATAGCTCTCAGTGAAATCAATTGTTCTAACTAGGATGAATAATAAAATAATGAAGCTGACAATCTCAGGACTGTTCCCTTCTAGCCAGCTTCCTGATGATAATGTGCAATTTAAACAAGATGTGTCATATCAAGAGAGAGTTAAGTTCAAGCTTTAATGGTATATCAAAGCCAGAAATGTAAATGATGGCTGGGATAAAAGAAAAGGCTTCTGTACTTGCAGATAAGCTGAATGAGTTCTTTGGCACACTACAGAGGGAGGATATTGCAGCTATTCTAGCTGAAGATGTGTTGGGAAGATCCACCATCTGCTTTAGTTTAACCATCAAGCTGAACTTGATTTCATGCTGAGGTAAAGCTAAGTCAGATATATGACTGCTAAATGAGGGCAACATTTCATTTCTGTCCTGCAATATAGGTGGTTGGGACATTAGATGTGTATTTTCTAGAATATGTTTCAAAATATGATATAGTAGTACTTCAGAAAACATTGTTTGGTCTCCATCTACGCAGTGTTTCCCTGGGTAGAGTCGTAGCTTTCTCCACTGCTGGAGTGTAATAAGCCCTTAATTGGGCTTAGAATGCATTTCAGTATTATACCTGAGGTATGTCAAAAATATTTCCAGGCATTTTTTGCAGTAGAAAAAAGGAATAGGATGAGATTGAATTTCAAAAGGAGGGTTTTCCAAAATGGCTTACTTAAGATGTGTGATATGGTCAAATTAGTGAAGAATTTTAAACTGGACAAGGTCCCTAGTGGGGATTTTTACCAGAATTGTATCCACCATTGACCGGTGAACTCAATTGTGGTGGCTCTTGTCACTCTTATCAAATGAGCAGTTGAAATCCAACAAGACTGAGGGCAGATAGTTGTGATTCCTACGTATAAAAAAGGTGAAAAGACTATTCTTGCAAATTATAGGCAGATTAATCTGCTGAATATTGGCATTAAATTATATGCTATTCATCTCTGCCAGAAATTTAAAGATCGATGTGTGTGTGTGTGTGCATGCAGAAAATTCCCAGTTACTGGAAGTTGTTTTGTCTAGATTTCTGAAAGCTATACTTCAGGTTTTTAGATGCTTTACAAATAAGTCCCTCAATCTCTGGCTTAGATTCTGTCACTATGGTGACAGTGGTGCTTTTATTTCTTTTAATTTTCCAGAAAGTTACATTTCAGTCCGGAAAAGAGAAGCCTAGAAAAATTTTAGCAATATACTTTTCAAGTCAATTTTTATGCTGTTGTGATTTGTTAGGGCAAAAATAGAAATAAATCAGCAAGTATTTGATGTAGTCCCATCAAAAAGATTGGGACACAACATCTAGATCTTATAGCTTGGGTACTAACAGGCATTGTTCCCGCACAATACTTGCAGAATTTTACTTAGGCACCACAGCAAAGATCTTTCTCTATAGTCCTGTGCTCTGTTTTGCCATATTGTTTTAAGATATTTTCTTTTTTCAGTTTTTGCCCATGTCTGTCTTTATGATATTCTGAAAAATAATGAGAAACCATGTTGTATGTAAGCAATTACTTCACAATTACATTCTTGTTTGCAGTACCGATTTCAATATGGTAGTTCATGTTTATTTTGTCATCATATGCTAGTGTAGATTCTAAGCCTGTAATGAATGACATGCCCCACCACCTTTCTCTATTCTGGAACTTATTTGAATGCCATGTTTGATCAATGGTACATAATCGAGGCTCTAAAGTTCAAGACTTTTGAAGGTACTTTCTGCTCCTCCTTGTTTTATTTTCCTGCCTTTCCTTTCAAAACATATTGTGCCCTTCAGGGTAAACTATTTTTAGAATAAATTGTAAATTCATTATATTTGAGTTTCCATACTTTTGAAAGTAATATTTTAACATTTGTAGAGGTTAAAATTATTTATTAAGAGGAATATTGTTGATGAAGGAAACTGTTGTATAAGAACTGGAACAAGACATAAGTAAAACAGGTGCCCTCATTTTCAAGGTGAACTGGGTATTTAGATGACAGTGGTAGAGAATAGTGCCTAAGTTAACCTTGTTCCATAGCTTGCTATTTTTGTTGCAGAGAGCATCTGCACACCTAAGACACAACTAATAAAAAGAAAATATTGCTATAAAATAATACCAATATGCCACCAGAAAAAAGAAATTCCATCCATTTCATTCCATACATTAAATGCTCATATACATAAGCAGGAAAATGTTTACTTTAAGTTTTAGTAGTATTGCTAATCATACATTGAAACTTAGTATTTTAAAAGACGTTTTTATAATTTAGTGCCTGTGTCCTGTGTATCCCTTAGGAGAAACGGAAGACCAAGATGAAAAAGAAGACACAGAGAAAGAAAACACAGAGAAAGATGATGACATTGAACAAGAACTTCCCAATTCAGAATCTGCAGATCCCAGTTGGATAGAATCCCCCAAAACAAATGGCCACATTATAGATGGCCCTTTCTTACTAGAAGACCAGATTGAAGAGGAAGAGGAAGAAGAGGAAGAATGCCCAAATGCTGAGCAATATAATCTTGATGAGCCAAATGCAAAAAGTGATTACAGTTATAGTAGCTCTTATGAACAATTTAATGGCGAATTGCCAAATGGACGTCATAACATTCCAGAATCACAGTTTTCTGAATTTTCAGCTTCTGTATTCCCTGGAGCTTTAGATTCTGTAGCTTGTGGTTCAGCTGTTTCTGAAGAGTCAACTGTAACTGAAAGAGAAGGAAGTAGTCCATCCCATGATAGGAGCAGGACGGTTTCAGCATCCAGTACTGGAGACTTGCCAAAAAGTAAGCATTTTCTTTACTATAACATTATACAATCAAGTTCTGTTTTAGAAACACTCAGTGAAGGTATTTTTTTTCCTATACTTTCTGTTTGGAATGTTGAATCTGTGTAATGCTGAGGTTGGTAGCTATGTCTTCAGAGTAATGTAAAAGAAAGAATAGGAATATGACAGTGTTGAGGAAATTTGTATGTTATTAACGTTTGCACTGCAGAACTGTTCTTTTGCTATTATTTGGTGAGATCTACTCTTCTTACAGCAAAGCATTGCTTTGGGTAGAACTGAAGAACTGTATAATGCAGTGTTTCTCAACGTTGGGAACTTTAAGATGTGTGGACTTCAACTCCC